GTCGTGAAGACTCCCGGGTACGCCAATGACATAGTCGACGATACGCAGATTGTGGGGAAATACGACGACCTTTCGAATTGTAAGTCACTGCGCTGCACACTGAGCCGATAGTAGATACTTACCTGCGCTGTTAGAGAGTAGTCAGAGTTCTTGTCAAAGAACCCTTCACCGTGCCAACCAGGCTTCTCGTGTAGAGGGGACGGAGTCCCATCTACACAAAGAAAACCGCCGCGCCACTCACGACATGTCCTCTGCTCCACGTACGCTTTTGCCCGCTCTCGCTCGATCTGATCCTCACGATCGAGCGGATCAAAATGAATGGCGCGATCGTGCAGTTGCAAGATCGCGATCATGACTCGTTTGTAGCAGTTGTAGACGGTCCCTACGGACACTCCAGCCCAATCAGATATGTCTTCGGTAGTCGCAGCATTGCCATAATGGCCGACACCATTGAGAAAGATCGCGAGCTGGACTGCAACAGGAAGTTGTGGATTGTTCGAATTATTATGGAAAATGGGGTGGGCTTGGATTAACGTCGTGAGTTCATCGAACACCTCTGCATCAACGCGAAGCTTGCGGCGAAACTTTTCAGGTGATAACAGCGCCCATTCTTGCAGCAGGTGTAGCTGCGGTGCGCGAGTCAGAGATGGACGCACGTCAAGTACCCGACACTTCTCCACTTCATCGTGCAGTGCCCCGATCGCATCAATAAAATGCGTAAACACTTGATCACACATGTCCGGGATATCGAGCGATAGAACATCGGAATACGCTGTCGAAAGCGATGTTAGAGAGCTGATGGACAAAGTGGATATGACGGATGACGTAGGGGACTCTGGCCATGTTGGCGACGCAGTCCGTATGCTGACATCTGACCCTCCATGACTACCGGTAGTATCATCATCCAATCCCTTATCAGAGCCATCCTCAAGTAGCTCATCAACCATGAATTCGACGAACTCCATGTATCGCGCGACTGTAAGATCATTTGTGGTTTTCTTCAGGCTACGTAGTAGCCTTTTTCGATCCGATTCTCGAGGCATGTTGAAGATGTTATTATTGAAGTCCGGAGACCGTGTCTGCGCCCTCGAAAGTCAATAGTTATAGATATGATGGTCACCGTAGGGTACGATGATGATGGGTCACGGTATGTATGAGTTTGATTTGTCATCGTCGGAGATTTAATTATCGGCAACTCGCAAAACTCTTACCTCTCGCAATTTCTATGATTTTAACTTTGAGGACCGCTATTTATCGAAGAATTAGCAGAGCTACTTGGAGGATACTGTCGAGATACGCACCTAGGTTCGACCGAATCTGGGTGTGACCAAATGAACATTAGGTTCGAAGGTTCGCAGGGGGGTGTGACGCGTGACACACTGCGCTTAGGTTCGACGACCAATGTTGGGGTAGACACATTCCCTTGTATACATGCAGCGAGAGCTATGAGCGAGGGGTACTGGATGACATGATAGGGCTCCAATCTACAGCTGATGGGTCTACAGAGGTTGAGGCTGAGGGCCGTGGCAAGCGCAGACGTGTTGCGAACACTCAGTACAAAGACTTTTGGATGCATTAGATGTTTTTTTTTGCGTTTTTACCACTTGTCACAATTTAGGTTCGACGGCCTCAGAGTTGGTGTGACCGTCACGAAAAATAGGTTCGATTCGCCAGGCGTGTGACGGTGTGACGAACCTAGGTGCGTATCTCGACAGTATTTGAGTTGAGTATTTTCCAGAGGTACTTAAGAGCCTGACAAGGTTTCCGAGGTCTTTTTACGTTACGCTGCTGGTACCTTGTTTTCGCCACGGAGTGGTGACAGGTCACCACACCGTGACACTCCCACTGGCAGTAGCCCTCCCCAACCGTAAAGTTTAAACTACCCTGCCGGTGGATCATGGCTGCTGGATGCAGCTGGCCGGCTGTCGTTTCGCAGTTGCAGTCATGCGACAGAGCCTGTACTCCCACTAGATGTATAGGCTCAGTGGTATTATCCTAAACAGAACGAGAAGATCGGCACGGTCGGGGTAGCTGGCAGTAGCCCCCTGCCGAGAACTTTCGCAGGTTCGCTGCCATCCCCGACATCCTAGCGTTCCTCCTACCCTAGCTGACAGACTCTTATTCTAAGAGACGGGTGACTGCAGCAAGTGCTAAGAACGTGGTCTGCCTCGCGATGCTCTGCTGGACGTTCTGGTTTGGGCTTATACCCTAGTGGTGGTCTGATTTAGTAACGTTTCAGTATCTGTGCGTCCATATTTCACCTATGAATGACTTAAAGGGTGTGCCTTACTGCAAGGCCTGTCTCCCATGCCACATCAAGGCTTCGAATTGGTCATGGCGTTAATGTTTCATCGAGAAGGGCACCAACCACCATGCGCTTGCCTGGTTTTGATACAGTGCACGGGTATTCTAGCGCTCGAAAAATGCATAATAAGTTCTAGAATCCCATGCGGAGCTCCAACGTTGACCATGCTCCCCTCTGACACAGAGTCGCTGCTCACCACTGATGTACTTTGTCCGAGTCCTACAACCACAAGCTACCCTACATATAAATACACGTGTCCGTTACGCTTCAAGTACAAGGAGGGCAGGAATTTAGTAGTCTGTATTGATGGATCATCGAACCGGTTTGGACTCAAGGTGTGTATCCACTTGAGCCAGCTTCTTTCCCTAACGACTGCCCAGAACACCAATGTCGTCGAGCTCTACAGCCAACTTGTCAAATCTCAAGACCAACTCACTTATTACAACAGCGGAGTGGGCACGCATGCACGCCCGTCGTGGCGCTCTCTCTCATATGTCCAGTATTGGCTGAGCAGCAAGGTGGATTTGCTTATAGCTTGGTACGTGGGGAGGTTAAACTCTATAAGCATTGTTGAGCAACCATTCAGGAATCTCGAAACTGTCATACTGGCAGCCTATCGATGGATATCAGAAAATTATGACGATGGTGATAGAATTTATCTTTTTGGTAGGTTCTTGTGCCACATGCAATGATGCCTCGCGTCATATCAACTTGTCATAGGGTTTTCCAGGGGCGCTTACCAGGCCCGAGCAATTGCTGGAATGATACACCGCGTGAGTCGTCTGGATTGAGGCGCTGACCAAAAACGGACGTTGATTTTTTTTAAATCTAGGTCGGGTTGATCCTCCCCGGAAACAACGAGCAAATACCATTGTAAGCATAGTCCCATCTCGTGCCATTGCTCCCTTCTCATCTCGGCCACATTTAGCGCCTTCGAGCTATACTCGAAAATAGATGAAAAGGCCTCAGAGGGAATAAGATCTCCACGCAAACATGCTTGGGCCAATGAGCTTGCTGAAACTTTCAAGAGCACATTCTGCAGATCGCACGTCCATATTCATTTCATCGGCGTATGGTAAGACATCCACTCTTGAAACATGGATGATGTATTTGTTTATTCATGTCAAGGGATACTGTCTCTTCGGTTGGCGTTGGAAGGGGGAAGACGCTACCTTCGACTACTAACGGCGGCCACCATATGTGCTATTTCAGACATGCCCTTGCCTTGGATGAGCGGCGAGTCAAATTCCTTCCGGAGTATATACATGGTGCAAATACAGAAGAATCCCATTCCGATCGCATCAAGGAGGTTTGGTTTGCAGGTAGTCACTCGGACGTGTATGTCAAATGCCTTGAAATCTCATCACCTTGATTTGATAACGGACATTTGCAGTGGCGGAGGCAATCGACTCAACGAGAAGCTTCAATCAGGCGACATTCCATTGCTATGGATGCGAAAGGAGGCTGTCGAGGCAGGCTTGAGGATGAAGCCCACCGAAGTCGTCTGGAAGATGGATGACCTGCAGAAGAGGACGTACGAATCACTAAGGAGCATGTGGTGGATGCTCGAATTCGCTCCTCTCAAACGGGTTGTTTATGGCACTCGAGATAGCCACGCGTTCGGGTACGTACTGTGGGCTTTTCGCTGCGCATCCATTTCATTAGAATCTCCTGAAGGCTCCATCGTGGGGCGCCTCGGGTGATCCTCCCCGGACAGAAGATTCACGCCTCTGTCTTATTCAAGGGCAACTATAGAGCCAAGGCCAAATTCTGGAAGGACTTCGACGTCTGGCCAGAATTGCTGTACTGGAATGATCCAGCCAGCCAACAACGACTTTCCAAACTGGGTCAGCTGTGGGAGAAGGACATCTTCGATGAATCGACCGCGCCCTCACTTCTGAGAGATATCCAGTTACACGGAGTGCAGTGTTTCGACGCGGTTGACCGACTGGCATTCATGGCCTCATTTGGTGGGTGTTGTATTTCTTGATCGTGATTTATCTTCTAAGCGCTTCACAGAACAAGGAAGGGCTGCGATCAAAGAATCGGGTAGCTGGGAGAGCCAGTTGAATAAGTTAGTCTGTCACAGCGATGATCCGAAAGTACGTATCAGTGCTACCGTTGCATTAAGCGAGCTATGTAAGTCATGGTGAATTGCATGGACGTCTTCTCACTCTCTGCAGTGCCCGAACTTGACCTAGAATACTTGCAAAGGACAGCCACTGATGTGTTGAAAATGCTGGATAGCAAGGACGATATCGATCAGATTCGAGCTTGCAAAGCCCTTCCCGCCCTAGTGAAGCATGCTCCGGAAGGGAATGAGATCTTGAGCGCAGCGACATTCCAGCGTGTACTGGACCTTGGTGGGGTCTCCGAAACCGAATCGTTGATGGTGCAAATTCATGCGTCACAGACTTTGTCGTTGCTTGCTGGCCATGGTTCGTAACTCAGCCTACCGGAACGATATTCACTCTGTGACTTTGGGATATCCTAGGTGTGCATCGGCCAGCTGTGACGGAAAGGGCTGCGAAGGACATCATCGATCTTCTTAGCAGCGAACGTGAGTTTTCGATCTAAACGTACTTTTACAGTCAAGCTGACATGACCGATCGCAGACGAAGAAATTTTGGTAGCGGCCTTGCGCATACTTGCTGCCCTTGTCCATGACGGTATTTTCGGTAGTTCTTTCAACGCAGGCGTGTGCTTGACAACCCGTTGCAGAAAACGCGCAAGCTGAGGTCCTAGTTCTAATTCCCACGCTTATCAAACGTTTGAAGCAACACGACTTTTATATCTCGCCGCCGGTGGGCAATGTTATATGTGCATATTCAGCGCATGGTAGGCTTCTCATGTCACTGTCGCTCAATTGATGCGCTGATTGCAAGATACAGAGGAATTCCGTAAGCAATTACTCCGCCCAGAAAGCGGTTTTCTCGCACTTTTGGTCGATATGTTGGAACACCGCTTAACTGACATTGAGGATCCTGCCATCCAAATCCTTGGCCAACTTGCGAACTATGGTGCGGCATATGCACTTACACTCATACAGCGCCTGACTAGCGGACCTCCAGTTGACGTTCAGGGTGACTTGATTGAAAATGGACATATCAAGGACATGGTGTCGCTGATGAAAAGTCGAAATCACGAAACAAGTAGCGGAGCTATTCTTGCGATGTTGTCGATTCTCCCGCATTGTCAGTTTCTTGACAATACGATAACATCTCTTCTGCTGCTAAGCGTTTTTCAGCACGCATACGATATCACAAGGCAATCGAGGAAGATGTCGTTGTTACGTTGGTCAATCATCTAAGACACCAGAAGAAGTCTTTGTTTGCGGCTTATGCATTATCTCGCATCCTGGACTACGGTCAGTTTTTCACCTGATGTCATGATTGCATTTTCCTCAATGCAATTCAGACAACATCAGAACAGCTATGATTAGGCTATCTGCGCCTGACTATATTATCAGCGCTGTCAAGCAAGGATTTTTTAACGCGACGGTCGAAAATGAACCTGGTAAAGAGGTGCTCGGACGCCTCATGAGCAACGGTAAGCTTGGGCGTTGCTGCGTTTCCCCTCTCGAGATCTCAACACTTGTATAGATGAACTGAGGGCAGCTGTCCTCAAAGCCCACACAACGGCGGCCCTTTGTACTATGTTTAAAAGGGGTGATACAGCGCTGAATCACGCAGCATTTGATTTCCTGGACATCGTGTCCGACTATCGTGAGCACGCGTTTTCCTGCATAATAATATATGCTAAGAAAAATTAAGCCGATGGGAAAGAGTTGATTAAAGAAGCTAAGATTCCCATATTCCGCGCCATAGTGGCGGCCTTGGACCACCAGAAGTGGGCCTCACAAAGCAATGCTGCGATGGCACTTCACGCTCTTTTCGGAATTCCGGATTCTTCTTCTGAAAGAACCTTTGTCACGCAAGAGTTTCGATCAGTCATCTTGGAAGAAATCTCGCAAATATTGAAATTGTTGGTACATGATCGGTCTTACCGTGTTGTTGGCGGTGCGGCAGCTCTCTTGGCACTATCTGATGACGGTATGTTGCATCGCACGATAGGCGCGTCATAAATGCTCATATTTTTGAAGAAACTGTACGGACTTGTGTGCGAGAGCACAGAGATTTCAAGTTTGCCAGAAGCGAGCATTTTTCAAAGAACAGAAAACTACAGTATCATGGCTCAGACCCACGGGAAGGTAACTCGTGCTTTTTTTCGGACGTTGCGGGGATCTAACATTAAGACACTTACCATTAGAGGATGTTCACAAGATACTTGACAGATTATTTGCGGCCATGGAGGAAAGCCCCAACCGTCGCGGTGCCCCGAAGTTCCCAGAAGTGCACTCAATGCCTGCTCGCAGTCCCTTGGTCACTTCCCTCGCAATTTTATCTTGCATCTTCTACATTCCATGCGGTCTTACAACTATGTTGGCTGGATGGGCGATCGATGAGGCGGAAACGTAGCTCCACACTACAGCGACTATGCATTACAGAGTCTTGATAACGATTGATATATCAGAATCAAGTACGTTTCTTCTCGGCTGCCTTGCGCTTGGCCTCTATCTCTGCCGCGGGATAGTGAGTATCGTTGTAAATGGCTTGTGTGGGCATTGCAGCGAACTTTCAGCTTCAGTCTTTCTCTTAGCTTCAGCAGCCTCTCGTTCCTCTTTATATTTAAGGCGAGCAAGATCAGACTTGCCTACATCGGTCTTTCCAGCGACATGTAGGTATAGTCGACGGAGTGAGCTAAAAGACAGAACATGATATTTTACTTCGACAACTCAAACTGACCTTCCAGTAGCGACCCTTGGCTTCTTGTTTCTCCTTCACAAGAAATAGACGATCAGTGACACTCCTGAGGCGTAAATACCGACCTTTCTCTATGGGTTAGCTCTCGAGGTGCGCCAAGATCAGATATATTCGTCTTCTTCTCGACATGGTTAGGGTTTTTAGATCTGCATCTATGTCGCTCTCTCCCTCCGCTTGTTTCTCCTTGAGCGCCCTTCGCTCAGCGCGACTTAGTTGAGGCTGTGCGACACTGCTGCTGGCCCCTTCTTCATCATCATCCTCTTTCTCTTCCCCCTCTTCTCCAATTTGTTTTCTTCGTCTGAGTCGGTATCGCCATCTCGATCAGGACAAACTATCGAACGAAATTCGATGATTATCTCCCATGAAAAACTCACCATGTTACTCATACCCAATTCTCGATACACGAAACAGAACCTGTCTGTTCGGAATCGCGGTTTCGAGTACTTTGTCTCAATCGCCAGAAGGAATATCATACAGCTAGGAGAGAAGAGTGAAGTTCCTTATTTAGAAGATGACTTTAACTTGAAGCCTCACCAGTGAGTTCGAGAGAATTCAGTACTTCAGTGCCGATTAGATGTTGCTAGCATATAGGGAACGCAAGCTACTGCAATGCTAATTCATCGTGGCAAAATTGGACAGCAGCTGACATTGAGAACCCATGAGAATGCTTGGCAGCCAACGGCCTCTCGCCTTCCATAGTTGTTGAGAACTAGCTAATCATGGACTGAAGCTTGATAGAATGTGATCATATGACACTTAGGCGCTTTAGGTGTCTATGCTGTGTATAAGCTGTGAAGCGAACACGAGGATACAGCATGTACGAGTGGATTAAAGTGTGACTTTCCACCAAAGCCATCATTCCCTGCTGCCTGCCCATCGCTGCTTAGAGACCTCATCGTAAGTGATAGTTGTGAAATCTAACAGATGAAAGCTGAGATGGCGCTGCACTCTGTAGTTGAAATTATGGCTTCTAAACCGAAAGAGACATTAGCAATAAAACCCCACCAGGAATTCAAAGGACACACCGACAGGGTGCAAGGCGTCGTACACCTGCCAGGTGGACAGCGAATCATCACTTGTTCAAATGACGGCTCGCTGCGGGAATGGAACTTGAAGAGCGGGAAACAGATAGGAGAAGACTGGAGAGACGGAGAAGGTGGAGTGTACTGTATAGCGTTGTCTCCGGACGGGAAGAAAGTGGTTAGCGGGAGTGAGGACGGCGGAGTGAGGTTGTGGGACATCGACGCATGCAAAGTCATCGCTAGATGGATGGGGCATACACAACGAGTGTTATCTGTCTGCTGGAGTCGAGATAGTCGAAGAGTGTTAAGTGGATCCCCCGATGGGATTGCAAGGCAATGGGACGTCGAAAGCGGAGAGACAATCCTCGAGCCAATCGAGACTGGGCACACCTACTTGTGGGCAGTGGTCTATTCACCAGACATGTCCATGATTGCGACTGGTGGTCTTGATGGGCTCTGGACTGGAAAACCCACCGAACACTCCATCAAAATCTGGGACACAAAGACAGGCGAGCTTGTCGCAACTCTCAAAGGACACACAGAGATAGTTGCTTGCCTGGCTTGGACCAAGGACGGAAAAACTCTTATATCCGGGTCATGGGATCACTCGATTAGGACATGGAATACCAAAACATGGAAGCAAACCGCACTACTGGAAGCGCACACCGACTGGGTCTGGGCCATTGCGATATCACCCAATGACCGCATCCTCGCAAGTGCATCATGGGACAAGACAGTGCTATTGTGGAACCTCGACAATGGACAACTCATCGGTCCGCCTCTCCGGCACGCAGGCTGGCTTAACTCCGAGTCCGTATCGTTTTCGGAAGATGGAAAACTATTACTAGTAGCCACAGCCAGTGCCAGTGGCTGCTACGACGGAAACGTGTACACATGGGATGTTGCTGCAATTGTCAGAGATGCCAGCCTCGACGACCTACTTTCGGATTCAAAGGTGAGTCGGTATGAATGCCCATTGTATATTCTCACAACTGAACGCGCTCTGCCAGGCCAACAAGTTGGCAGTCCATGTACGCGACACTTTCATCAAAAGATCTTGTTATTCTCACTATATACACTCTAGGATAGTGCTGCACCACCTCCGGTCCAACGACGTCCGCCTGCTTATCGGATACCCCAGGGTTTTTTCGACGGAGTTCCACCAAATCGTTCCCATGTATGTCAACATCTATTTCATTTTATTTTCCTGACCTCTGGCATGTTCTCAGTCCTCTGCACGAAGGCGTGTCGCCTCCTCAGTATCACCTGGCAGCACACTTCTCGGCCGTTTATTCCACCGCAACCGCAACCCCTCCAGTGCTCATGCTACGTCACCATCCTCCCCTCTTGACTGGGCTCGAAATATTCTGAAACGGCGCGCACAACGTGATGAAGGTATCAAATTACAAGGGCGCAGCCCTGCAGTTGTCGAGGTTCCGTATGCGAAGGGCAAACGCGTAGGTTCCTTCTCCTTGATGGTTCCACTCCACCTGATATTGTGTAGAGAAATGCCTGCGCGAGGGAGAAACGAAAAAGACGATTTCCTCCAAAGAATCCTACTACAAGTAGTTCATGGCATCCAAAGCCCAATGTCACCCAGTCATCCTCACAACCCCAAGCTGCCATCTCTGGTTCATCCACCGCACCTTCTGTTGGCGATGCTACTGACACAGCTACAACTTTGACGCCTTCACGTCCAGATGCAACGATAAGACAGGCTGGAATTTGGACTCGCTTCTGGCTCTTTCTCGGTTGTCTCTCTCCTGAATACACAGACGGTCGTCATTAAATCTCCTCATCCTTCACGAGTCGCATGCCTTTGTATCTTGACGGATTCTTGTTCGTGTGCTTTTACCTACTTCCTCTGATGTCTTTCGAGCCGTCTTTGATGTACGATTTTGATACCATACAACTCGTCACCTCTGTTTGCAATGTACACTACCCATTCATTTTTGCAGCTCAAGACTTACCGTTGCAATTCGTGACGAATGTGCACAAAATTCTAGCTGCAACATAGCGTCGACAATGAACACGAACAACTTGATACGGCAGCAGAGCAAAACACCCTAAGGATGTCTCTCTATCAAGTCAGGTTCACTGGATGCCGGTACCTACCAATGCATCGATAATCGAGGTTTGTTATCGTCCGAATTGTAAGTAGCTTGATACCAGTCATTGAAACCGGATGCCGAAGACGAAGATGGATTCGGGAATTGAGAATACGAATACTATACAGGTGTCGATGCAGATCAGAGCACTTACTTCGCGACGCGTCGGGCTAGATGGAAAACCTAAAGCGGCGTTATCGCTAACGAACGATAATCTGATATCAGAATCCATCAACATCAGTGCAGTACAATGGTCTTGAAACAAAATCAAAGAAATGCCATTTCATTCCAGTACAACCCCGAACTGCATCGCCCCATTGGACTGTGACCTCACAGCCCCACTCAACTCCTCCCAATCCCCACTTGTCAATCCAAAATTCAAGTTCTCCTCTCCTTGCATCGTAGTAAGTCTTCCCAAGAACCCCCAGAAACTGCGTTTCTGTACAGCTGAAAAAGCGCCGTTGCAGTTCGTCGCGAATGTATATAAAATCCTAATTCCATCCCAGGATCAACAACCCAATGTGGGAGTGGAAAGAAGGAAAGGTGGAATTGGGATCGCACTCACCTAACAATATTCTCCTGAAGTCATCTTTATCTATCTCGCCATCAACACCGAACGGGATAGGTTCGATCAAGGCTGATATATCGTATCAACGCATCGAGAAAAAAACCCCTTGCTCTCCTTCCTCCTGAATCGCAGAGAGCGTGAGAGCAGACGTAGAGACGGACGATGGATCAGAGAGCAGTGAATTTGCGTGGATTGGGGGTGGTGCGTTTTCTGGAGTGGGGAGGCTTATGTTTGGTTGGAGGTTAACTTGGGACGAAGGGGTGGTTGGGAGGAGGAGTGTGTTTAGTAGGAATGTTGTTTTTCTGCGAACACGGATTTCTGAGTCTGGTATTCGTCAGGTGTGAGTGTCAATCATGAAAAGAAGGTAGGGGTTGTGGCACGATACACACCTTCCAAGCACATCCTCAACGCGCTCCATCCATCCACCACATCTTTTGAACAGCAGCAGCATTCAGTCTCAGGAGCCCAGAAAGCGCATATAGTGCTCGTGAGCGGGTCTCAGCGGAGTTGGACGAGGGGGAGAGGGTTTGAGGAGTGTGGGGAGAGGGTCGATATCGAGATACTGTTATCAAATAGAACATGAACACAAAGTACTTTAATTAGGGTGAATTGAATTTAGATTATGAACTGGGTGCGTGTTAGTGCACTGCCTATGCTGTGTATAAGCTGTGAAACGAACACGAGGATACAGCATGTAAAACGACGTACCAGGAAGTAAGTGGTTTCCGTTCTAACTTGACCATCAAACCTATCATTCCCTGCTGCCTGCCCATCGCTGCTTAGAGACCTCTTCGTAAGTGATGGTTTTGAAGTTTGATCGATGAAAGCTGAGATAGTATTGCACTCCATAGTTGAAATTTAGGAGTATGGCTTCATCCACCACTAAAACGAGAGAGACATTAGCAATAAAACCACACCAGGAATTCAAAGGACACACCAAACCGGTGCGAGGCGTCATACACCTGCCAGGCGGACAGCGAATCATCACTTGTTCAGTTGACGGCTCGCTGCGGGTATGGAGCTTGAAGAGCAGGAAACAGATAGGTGAGGACTGGAGAGACGGAGAAAGTGAAGTGTACTGTATAGCGTTGTCAGATATTGGGGCAGTTCTTCATGGGCCTCGTCTGGAAAGTTCTCAGGTACAGCGCCATGCTCGAGGCCATCGTCCTGATAAAATTCTGTACCCAATTGCAATTAGAGCCTCGATCATGACAGAGTAGAAGGACTCATACCTTCGATAGTGTCATTATCCATTCTGATCCCATCCAAGTCATTCATATGAATAGACGAATCATCGGGCTGGAGTTCAGGCTGATGAGAGCTATGTGAGTGATATCTATAGAATGCAAAGAAGACTTACCTCGAATGAAGGTGCTAATTCCGGGCTGTCCGACCGTCCCTTCTTTCTAGATCTAACTTCCTTGTCATCAAAATCTTCCCGAAGTTCCTGTGGTCTTTTGCTGGACGAGAATTCGGCTGGAAGATCCAGTGATGGGAGATCTGGCGCAATGGTGAAAGGGACCGGTGGAAGACAAATCGACGGTCTGCTGGCTTTGTGTCTGAAGTAAGTAGCCTTAGAAACCTGTGTGTTCCGTCCTCCAGTCTTATGGAGACAAGCACTACAGTCGCAGACATAGATGGTAGTGCCGTCGTCCAGTCTATGTGCGCCAGCTTTGATGGAGTCCATAGTAGTAGTGCCTGCAAATTTAGACTTGGTGATATTTTGATCGATCTGATTTAAATCGTGCCCGCGCAGGCTGTAAAGTTTTCAAATTTGCCAAGTTTGATTACCGTTTGTAAACCATTCATTGCAAATTGTGTTTGCATCTTTGCACTTTGCGTTGATTTTTTGGACTTTGCATTTTTTTTGGACTTTGCGTAGCTTTGCATTATTTTCATCTCAAATTATTTAGATTTCTATCTACCTCAATTTGTACTTAGACGTCTATCTACACATATCCACCTCTTTCTTGTCGATTTTCACTGGGTGTCAATCACCAACTCGCAGTGCAACTCGATGTTTACACCGCATGGGGCAGTTGCCATGAGTTGCGTAAATTTCCGAGTCGAGTCGATGTTAACTCGATTTCAACTCACACCGGCGGCAACACTAACTACTGGAAGCGCACACCGATGAGATCTGGGCCATTGCAATATCACCCAGTAATGACCGCATCCTCGCAAGCGCATCGTGCGACAAGACAGTGCTATTGTGGAACCTCGACAATGGACAACTCATCGGTCCGCCCCTACAGCATTCAGAGCATGTGTATTGCGTGTCATTTTCCGTGGATGGAAAACTACTAGCCACTGGCTGCCACGACAAAAACGCGTACACATGGGATGTTGCTGCGATTGTTAAAGAAGCCGGCCTCGATGACCTACTTTCGGATTCAAAGGTGAATCGATATGCATGTCTCATTGTTATATTTTCACAACTGAATGCGCTCTGCCAGGCCAACAAGTTGGCACTCCATGTATGTGACACCTTCACTAAAAGATCTTGTTATTCTCAGCATATATACTCTAGGCTAGTGCTACACGACCTCCAGTGCAACGACGTCCGCCTAATCATCGGATACCCCAAGGTTTCTTTGATGGAGTCCCACCAGATCATTCTCATGTATGTCATCACCGTCAATTTGGTTTTGTTTTCCTGACCTTCATGTTCTCAGTCCTCCGCACGAAATCATCACCACTCCTCAGTACTGCTAGGCAGTACGTTTCTTGGTCGTTTATTTCACCGCAACCGCAGCTCCTCTGGTACTCATGCTACGTCACCACCCTCCCCTCTCGACTGGGCTCGAAACCTTGTGAAACAGCGTGGGCGAAGCGGTGAGTTGCAAGGGCGCAGCCCTGCTGTTGAAGTTCCGTATGCAAAGGGAAAACGTGTATGTTCTCTCTCTCTTTCGGGTGTTCACTCGCAACTTAATCTAATATCACATAGAGAAATGCTTCAGCGAGGGAGGTTGCATTTGCAAAACAGAAACAGAGACGGAAAACGAAACCATCACACTCGAAGATCTCTACTGCAGGAAGCCCACAGCCTCCCAAGCCCAACATCACTCAACTATCTTCGCAACCACAGACAGCTGACTCTTCGTTGTCCACCGCGCCTGCTGCTGGTGATGCTACCGCAGCTACAGTTTCAACAACAACGTCGCGCCCTCACGCAACCATAAGAGACGTTGGACTCTGGACTCGCTTCTGGCTCTTCATTGGTTGTATTTCTCCTGAATATACGGACGGTAATCATTAGATCTTCTCATTCTTCACAAGTCGCATGTCTTTACATCTCTCTATGGACTCTCATTGATGTGTTTTACCCAATTCCTCTAATGCATTTCGGACCGTCCTTTATGCACAGGCCTAGCGCCGCCTAGGTCGTGACTGCTAGAAACATCGCACCAACCTGTCTGTATGAACGATGACGTTCCATGTGAATTCTACTGCAAAGACTGGATGTCGGTATTAACCCAATGTTTTGAGACCTGCATGCCTTGTGACAGCCTCCGTATCATATCCCTACCTCCCATCTTCTTCTACCACTTATCCCACCCATCGCTTAGCCCACCCTTAGCCCACCTTCCCATGCCTACGATTTGCGCACCATGGCCTGCATAACGGACCTGACGGGTACGGGATCCACGCGAGCGTCCTTGCACTATGGTGCTGCCCTGATAGGCTGCTTTTCCAAATGACCCATCCGTCGCTCAAGGGATTGTCGCGCTAGCGCCAAGTGCTATTCAAACGAATCCGTCGATGGTGCGTACTTTCATCGTTTTTGTTTTACATCACTACTAACACTGATACGTCACCCTCACACCAGATGATAATCGAAGGCGTTTGACCTGCAGTCCCCATGCAGAACACCATCGGCCTCATTGACATGTTTCGAAGGCTTTTTTTGATGGTGACAAAGAGGGTACGGTTGTCTTCCTTTTCCAAGTCCAGCTCATAATACACTGCTAACTAGAGTTCCACTCAGAGTGCCGCCCAGGCCGAGGCAAACCAGGGCTGAATCGTCATTATATTTTATATTCCCCAGGTTATTGAGTTACTCAGAACAGCGGGCAGCCAAGATGACCCTTGATAATCTTACAAAGTGCGTTGTCTTCGTTTTGTCTCCTCTATATATTCTCCTTACCTCAACAGACTGTTATCAGCATTTCATGACGAGGGCATATGTTCAACGGATGTATTGTATTAAGCTGGTGGATCCATGCCCTGTTGCTACACATGTGCTAATCTATACGGTGATCTGTATTCCGCTGTTGCAACATTGATATGCGGCACAACTTCACTGAGCTGCACGTTAGATCACCGGGAAGATTCCATGATGACCGAGAACAAACAAAATATCAGCAAACATTGTCGTTAGGAACTACAAACTGCAAGGTGCGATGATGGTATTGTGGGAACGAACTAAGGCTCTCCATATATTGTAGTAGGCTTCAATGCTCCGAGGACTCGATAACAGTGCGCGTGACACCAGGGCCGTCTCCTTGCGATGACCTGAAGACTTCCACGTCGCCTAAGCTCTAAGATCTTGTCAGATACCTACGGCATCAATTCCATCAGAACATGAGACTCGAAGAACAACGTGGTTCTCCGGAACACAGCATTGACACCAATTAGATGCTTGTTCCTCACAGTCAAATGAACCCCATTGCTAAAGCTCGATTGCTATCCAGGGCAAATGGACACCCGACATCATTTCCAGCGTGAAACAGAAGACCTCAAACGAAGTCAAGCCTCAGGATAATCATCAGGTACTACCGTTACTCATACCCAATTCTCGATGCGCGAAACAGAACCCGTCTGTTTCGGAATCGCGGTTTCGAGTACCTTGTCTCGATCGCCGGGAGAGATATAATGCAGCTAGGAGAGAAGAGTGAAGTGCATGGTAGGGAATGTTCTTCAGCTGTTTGTTCGTAAGATGTTGCTGATCTGATGTACGTCCTTATCGGAGGTAGAAGGTGACTTAAACTTGAAGCACCAGTGAGTTTGAGAGAATTCGGCGCCGATTAGATGTTGCTAGCATATAGGCAACGCAAGCCACTGCGATGTAAATTCATCGTCGCGTTCGACAGCAGCTGACATTGAGAACCCATTGGAGTGCTTGGCAGCCAACGGCCTCTCGCCTTCCATAGTCGTTGAGAACTAGCTAATCATGGACTGAAGCTTAATAGAATGTGATCATATGACGCTTGGGCGCTTTAGGTGCACTGCCTATGCTGTGTATAAGCTGTGTAGCGAACACGAGGATACAGCATGTAAAACGACGTACCAGGAAGCAAGTGGATTCAGTTCTATCTTGACCACCAAACCTATCATTCTGTTGCCTGCCCATCGCTGCTTAGAGACCTCCTTGTAAGTGATGATTTTGGAATTTTGTCGATGAAAGCTGAGGTGGTACTGCACTCCGTAGTTGAAATTCTGGAGTATGGCTTCATCCACCGCTGAAACGAAAGAAACATTAGCAATAAAACCCCACCAGGAATTCAAAGGACACACCAAACCGGTGCGAGGCGTCATACACCTGCCAGGTGGACAGCGAATCATCACTTGTTCATTGGACGGCTCGCTGCGGGTATGGAACTTGAAGAGCGGGAAACAGATAGGTGAGGAGTGGAGAGATGGAGAAAGTGAGGTGTACTGTATAGCGTTGTCTCCGGACGGGAAGAAAGTGGTTAGCGGGAGTGAGGACGGCGGAGTGAGGTTGTGGGACATCGACACATGCAAAGTCATCGCTAGATGGATGGGGCATACACGGCCAGTGTTTTCTGTCTGCTGGAGTCGAGATGGTCGAAGAGTGTTAAGCGGATCTAGCGATGAGATTGCAAGGCGATGGGACGTCGAAAGCGGAGAGACAATCCTCGAGCCAATCGAGACTGGGCACACCTACTTGTGGGCAGTGGTCTATTCACCAGACATGTCCATGATTGCGACTGGTGGTCTTGATGGGCTCTGGACTGGAAAACCCACCGAACACTCCATCAAAATCTGGGACACAAAGACAGGCGAGCTTGTCGCAACTCTCAAAGGACATACATGGGCAGTGACTTGCCTGGCTTGGACCAAGGACGGAAAAACTCTTATCTCCGGGTCAGACGATCACTCGATTAGGACATGGAATACCAAAACATGGAAGCAAACCGCACTACTGGAAGCGCACACCGACTGGGTCTGGGCCATTGCAATATCACCTAATGGCCGCATCCTCGCAAGTGCATCAAGCGACAGTACAGCGCTATTGTGGAACCTCGACAATGGACAACTCATCGGTCCGCCCCTACAGCATGCAGACTGGCTTAACTCCGTATCGTTTTCGGAAGACGGAAAACTACTAGCAACTGGCTGCCGCGACAAAAACGCGTACACATGGGATGTTGCTGCAATTGTTAAAGAAGCTGGCCTCGACGACCTTCTTTTGGATCCAAAGGTGAGTTGATATGCATATCTCATTGTATATTTTCACAACTGCCAAATGCGCTCTGCCTGGTCAACAAGTCGGCACTACATGTACGTGACACCTTCATTAGATCTTGTTGTTCTCACTGTATGTGCTCTAGGCTAGTGCCACACAACCTCCGGTTCAACGACGTCCGCCTGCTTATCGGGTACCCCAAGGTTTTTTCGATTCGGAGTCCCACCAAATCGTTCCCATGTACGTCATCACTATCAATTCGATTTTTCCCCTGACCTCTGACATGTTCTCAGTCCTCTGCACGAAGCCGCTCCCACTCCTCAGCATCGCCAGGCAGCACGCTTCTCAGCCGTCTATTCCACCGCAACCGCAGCCCCTCCAGTGCCCGTGATACATCACTGTCCTCTCCTCTCGACTGGGCTCGAAACATTTTGAAACGGCGCAGACAAAGGGGTGAAGGCATTGAGTTTCAAGGACCCAGTCCCGCAGTTGTCGAGGTCCCATATGCGAAGGGCAAACGTGTATGTGCCTTCTCTTCCTTGATCGTCCTACACC